AGAGGCCTGGAAATCGTCGCTTCCATCATCCGGTGGACGAATTTTACCACTTTGGATCGCCTTCCGCACCTCCTGTCCCAGGTACTTCAAGTCCGAACGTGTGATGCACCAGCGGTCCGGAGGAACGGACTCGTGCAAGGCGGTGGCCTCGATGGTCGTGTACGTCCGAGATGAACGCTCCGTCGCAGTAAAAGAGGATCGCAAGTCTGACAATGAGAACATGGCCCCAAGGCTCCGTTCTGAGCTAGTTAGGACTTCGGGCTTAGGGTTTAGGGTATGACAATGAGAACATGGCCCTAAGGCTCCATCACCCTAAGGGTCCATGTGCCCAAATAGTATATACTTTAGCCTTAAAGTCGTCCCTGTAGAGGTTCTTTGCCCCATGGGTGAGGAGTTACGATTGGGGGGAACCCTTGGGGATGAGGTCCCGTTTAAGAGTGCCATAAGTAGGGCTTTAAGAGTGCCCTAAGGTTCCAGGTGCCCACATTGAGGGTTCACCCGAAACCCCTTGGCCATACGCCAGCTAGAGGCTGCGCAAAAGTGAATGTTCAGGATTCCTGCCCTTAGTCTCGGCAGTAGAATGGGTTGTAGGATGTAACTTACGGCTGCGGCTTTACGAGTCAGTGCAATGTATCTGTCGTGGTGTTCGTTTCGGCTTTAGGATCTCGACTTCAGACTTCGCTAACCAGGGTTTCATTGGTGCTCTTGTGCCAGAGGGCGACAGCACAGGGCGCCAAGCTCAGAGAGAACCGCCCAATATAGGGGCCTTAATGAATAGAATAGGGTTTAGGGGCATATTATACTATAATCATCATAAGGAACCCCCCAAAACAGTTTTGGTAAGTATTTAGTCCCCAAACTACACGAACCATAACAGCCGTTCCTATCACATGGAAACCATAAAACCTGTCTCGAAATTTGTCCAAGAACTTCGAACCCTTTGGAGGAGATCCTGAACCCCAACACCGGGACTGTGAATCTACCAGATTCTCAGACACCTATTCGCGAAGCCGTAAACCCGATCGAATGCGAAGATCTCAACCTGATTGGGTTCCAGTTTTCTACGTCCGAGTCCAGGAGCAGAGCCACGGTTTAGGGTTCAGGGTAGCCGAGCATCATTGAGAGTTTACCGAGGCCCTAAACCATACACGGGTTGAGGGAACCCTAAACCCTAAACCGTCTAAGGGAATCAGAAGCTCACAGACTCATGCCTTTGCATTTAAAAACCTTGGCCTTCACTCTAAGGTATAGGGTATAGGGTTTATAACCCTAGGCAGGCGTGTCGATGTTGGTCAACGATTGTTTTTCGGCCTGTTGCTGGGGTGCCCCCAATCTACCCATTAGAAAAACGATGTATTAGAGTAGTTTCTTGCCTATCCTAGTCTGTTTTTTAGCTATTCAAGGCCGCGTTGAAGGCTATGGGGCTTGTGGCTGGGGAGTTTTTGTTGAGGGTGCCCCGCACTTGCACTGTGAACTCACACATAGTCTGTGATCATAAACTCACGCCCTCAAACAACAAACAAACCCACGGACAGGACAGGACAGCACAGAACCCTGAACGTGCTTGAATGCGCTGTGGTTCCTGGTCGGCTGCTAGTTGTACCTCAATTAAAGCCGGGAGACTTAGTTGCTTGGCTTCCTAGTCATTCATAGGCAATCTATGGGTAGTTTTCTAAATTAGGGCCGCTTTTTTGATCTCCCAACTAGTACGGCACCCTTATAAAAAAGGGATCCTAAAAGGGACCCTATTATTGAAAACTACCCCTATATGGTTTAGTAGTTCAGGTGCTGCTAGACTCGAAGATACGTCTTCCTACCCATACGAAATTATCCATGCAAGTACGATCGGGTGCGCTGGCCCAATGCAGCAAGTCAGCTCAAAGCGGGCACGACGGGTTACTCAGGCAAACGCCCCAAAAGTACGTAAGATAATGGCCCAGCACCCATAGAAGACTAGAATTCTAAATGCTGCTCCCGTCCATTCCTAAACACTCAGGCCCAAAACCCTAAACATTAAACCGCGGACCCTAAGCCCTAAACCCTAAACCCTACAGCCCAAGACCCTGAACGGCCCTAAAAAGTAAACCCTAAACCCTAAACCCTAAACCCTACAGCCCAAAACCTTAAACCGAGGGGGCGGCGCAGTCATCTTTTTGGCCTTCTGAGGCGAACTCACCATGCAGCCAAGCCTTCAACTCTGTGCCCCAAGAACCTACCAGCCTTTAGGGTTTAGGGTTTAGGGTTTAGGGTTTAGAGTTTAGGGCTTAGGGTATAGGGTTTTATATACAGGAGATCATAATAAGGAGCCCTGAAAAAGTAAGTTTGTGGAGTTCATGTTCACTCTGAGCCCTAGCCCCCACTAGTCCGATGAGTCGTCAGAGCTGGACGAGTGCATGTCAGGCGAATAGACAGGCGCCGCTCCTGCTGCACCTTATCTAGGGTTTAGGGTTTAGGGTTTAGGGTCATGGTCGGTATCTGGGCTAGCAATACGAGGACCTGAATAGTTAGAATAGGGTTGTAGGGTATAGGCGGTAGGAAAACCCTAAACCCTAAAGAGACGATCAGAAGGATGTTAGGAGCAACTGTTCAAAACTCTGGATCACATATTTTGGAATTTCGGAAACTAAGGGGTACCTGAACAATAAGGATCCTACTGTTTGGGGTACTATATTAGGGTCCCCTATTTCCGCAAGTTTGAGGATGCTGAGGGCTCGGGTATGTCGAACATCTGCATCGCTGGAAGGTATTAGTATCAATATTCGGTACTTATTCTCTAAGGGTTTGGTGTGCCCATTATTAAATCGACGCTGATTTCGGGTGTAGGGGGGAATTAATTCCCTGCGACCTCGGTGCTAGCGACGCTGCAGTGGCCACGACCAAGGAACAACTGTAGCATGCAAGGCCCTGCAAGCGGAAGTCTCGCCAATCGTCGCATGCCTAGACCTTCAGCATTGGACCAAGCAGGGGACTACGAGTATTGGAGGGCTTAGAACTACCTGACAAAGCTAAGCATTGACACTCCCCCCTATACACCCAACCAATAGTTCATATCGCTCCCGTAACCTGTTTCCTATGCTCGCTGCGCCTAAAGCCCACAGCATTAACAGTCCACATGGGCCATATACATATTAGTACGTATATCTTCAGGTGCATACAGGTGTGTGTATACATAAAAGTTATATATATATATATATACACGCGCAGACATATTATGGTCCTGACACATTCTACGAACCCGTTTAAGGCCTTCGTATATAAATCATTCGTAGATGGCCTTTGGGGTAAGCTCGACGGCTTGGGGTTCAGAGCTTGCCGGGATACCGAGTTTGCGGAGTTCGGCACAAACCCAAATAATCCTAAACCCCAACCCTGAACCCCAAAGCACAGAGTCGAGGTAAGGCCCAAACCCTAAACCCCGAAACCCTAAACCTCTAAACCCCAAATCATAGAGTCCAGGGCTCAGCGTGTCTAGTATCTTAGTTTAAGCAGGGTCTCAAGTGTGTAGGGTTTAGGGTTAAGGGTTAAGGGTGTAGGGTTTAGGGTTAAGGGTGTAGGGTTTAGGGTTTAGGGTTAAGGGTGCAGGGTTTAGGGTTTAAGGGTGTAGGGCTAAGGGTTTGGGGTTGGGTTAAGGGGTTAGGAGTCCAGCGTGACTGAACATGTGCCCAAGGATGAACGACACAGAGCAGGAACTGGGCTCTTGTAAAGGAACTAAGGAAACTACAGGTGGGGAGTTTAAAGTATATAAGGCTTCTATAAGGCTTCCATAAGGTATATAGACCTCCACTCAGGCTCCTATAACGGTAACTACTCACCTGAAAATGTCCTAGACTTAGTTGAAGTTACCATACATTCTGGAAAACACCAGGGCAAGAACACTTGGTCACTTGATGCTAACACAAGGCAAGCGAAGCCAACCATGATGATGTGCATAAGCATGATGGAGATCGTAATTGTGTAGAAAACGCCATCAGTCTCGGCAGCAGTCAGCTGCAGAAACATAACCGTCGGCAAGACGAGGACTTGCAAAGTTGCAATCATCTTTGACATCATCTTCAAAATAAAGCATCTCTCATCCTTCGCACTATGCCAGAGACAGAAGAGCAGCAAAAGACGGGCACAAACGGAAACCAGGCAAGGAATCCAACGCTGGCACCGACGAAGAAGTACATCTTTTACGAGAAGCACAAGGTCGTGAATAAGGAATGGTCCCAGATCCAGACAGGGAAAGGCCATTTCGGTGTAGCCCGCACCAGAGATGTCGACTCCTGCACGGGCGACAATTCCCTAAACCCTAAACCCTCAACTGCCCTAAACCCTAAACCCTAAACAGCCCTAAACCCTGAACCCTAAACTGCCCTAAACCCTAAACTCTCAACTCCTGCACGGGCGACTATTCGAAGTGTCGGCGTTGACATCCCAGCAGCGAGTAGCACGTGGATGGCGTAGTCGACCTTAGGTGTCCAGTCCATAAACTTTAAACCCAGCGCAATGTAGGGGCCTTGATAATTAGAATAGGGTTTTGGGGGGCTCCTTATTATAAATTATAGTAAATTAAACCCCAAACCCAGCGTGCATAAACCCAGCGTAAACTCTCAGAAACAAAGGGGGGCCATGTATTGAGACCAGAAGGGAAATAAAGCATGCAAACCCTAAACCCTAAACCCTAAACCCTAAACCGAACTTAACGCTACTACGCTACATCGCTGGTCCTCTCACCAATCTCCTGCAAAATCCGCGCAGTGTCGGCTGCTTCGGAGCAGGTCGCATACTCGATGCTGCCTCCCGAGGTGCCCTTAGGGCTTGGTTTAGGGTTTAGGGTTTAGGGTTTAGGGTTTAGGGTTTAGGGTTTTAGGGTACCGAGATGTCTTAAGTCCCTACCATACACAAAGTAATCGTGGTTTGGGCAAGTACCCCCTACCTATAGTCTCCATTGTCCTTCCTTTATTTGGTTTAACCAAAGATATATTCAGGAATTTTATAAGGACCCTAAACCCTAAACCCTACTCCCCAAAAAGGAACTACAATGGAGACTATAGGTATAATGGTACTTGGGACGAGCTTGAGGTTTGCAACCCGGGCCTGCCATTAATAGGGTTTAAGGTTTAGGATTTAAGGGTCGCATAATCTAGTGTATCATATTTGCAAAATGACGCTCAAGTGCACCGGTACAGTTACGTCTTGCACAGCACACTACAAGCACCACCGGATAGATAACAAAATACCAGCTTAATGCGGTTATGGGGGACAGGAGGGGGGGGGGTGATTACGTTCTGTGTTTCAAGACACATATATTAGGCGGGAAACAGTAAAGTGCAAGTAACCTGGCGAACATACCGAAAGTACCACACCTTTCACACGAAGCAGGGTTTAACATAGGATTGAAAAACTACTGAGGCAACGCGCCGTGGGACATGCCGAATCACATCATCACATGTCGTTTCATGTCATGATGTATCATAGAATGTCATGTCATGTCACATCACGTCATGTTATTTCCTATTGCTTGAGATCAGGTCATGTGTGACATGACCTGATCTGAAACAATAGGAGATAAAACGACATTATGTGACATGACATGACATTCGATGATACATCGTGATGATGTGATTCGGCATGTCCCACGACGGGTTGCTCAAGTAGATTCTCAATCCTATGTTAAACCCTGTCGTGTGAAAGGCGTGGTGCCTTCGGTGTGTTCGCCAGTGCTATTTTAAATCTTCTACTTCACTAGCCTGTCTCGAAACTGGAGGTGTAAGCATTTCCAAACTGTAAACGCAAAAACATTGCCTTCAACAAATTCAAGACGAAGCCTGTTTCGTGTGGCAGGCGCAGTAGAATCGATGTAAACGTTTGTTTCGACAGGTCCAGTGTTCCCCCCTTGTGGTAGTTTGTCGATGTTTACAGAGTCACCGCATGTGGTAGACCGAGCACTTCGACACGACTTTGAGAGGATCGCTTGAGCCCTCAAAAAAACATTCATCAACGGGCGGCTGCAGACAAGCAGTCGTTCAACGGGCCAAGGCAATCTTGACAGAAGTTTCGTAATGCTCCTTTTGATTCAAAGAACAGTTGTCGATAACGTCATAATATGTCATAATGTTCTTGTGTCAAGCGTAATGCCGATGCGGATGCTGTGCAGACGTCCTGCTTATGCCCATGCAGGTGCTGTCGCGACTGTGATTGTCGATCTTAATGATAACGGCAACGACGGCCAGAACGGTTGCAATGATAAGTGGCAAACGGCGATGAAGACGCCGTCCCATGTGGCAGCGGTGACGGTTACGGCTACGATTTCTAGAATCGTGATGATGCTGTGACCCCTCATGACACGGCCTTTGACAGGATGGCACCTGACAATAGTGCCGATAATAATTCAAGAAATGTAGATGCTGCTGTAAGCCCCTGATTCATAAACCCCTCTCATTTAAACAAGGGCAAAACCCTGGACCCTAAACCCGTCGCGAATATTAGGGCCCTTCACGAAGGGGTGTTTGTCATTCAGGGGCCTGCAGTAGCTTGCATGACGACGATTGTGCAACAGACGATGACAACGAAAACGGTGCTGGCCATGGTCGAGAAAGTAGGTGTTGGTGGCAGTGGCTGTGCTGGTCTAGATGTGAAGCTTCGACATCTTGACTTGCGTTATGCTTTAGGGCTTAGGGTGATGGAACCCGGCGAAAAAAGAGGCGCCTTGAAATCCATGACTGAGCTGCTTGGCCTGCTCTCTCTGGCTTTGTCCAATGATGCGGTCGACCTGAAGAGATTTCCCTGCCGTTGGTTACATAATACATGGTTAGCGGCTTCAAGGTCGGCTGCCTGAACCCACACATCTGCTCAATGTGGCTCTGCAACATCGACCATCATGAGCAGTGAGCTAATCATAGGCTTGCGGGACATGATGTCTGCGCCTCAAGCAGATCGAAGAACAAGATGCCGGAAGCAAGAAGCAGCCGTTGTCCCACGTCGGTAAGCATAGGCAGAAGGCCAGTGTCGGAAAAGGGAATGACGACCTTCCAGTGGTAGAGAAGGGCACCGCACATGAAGGCACCTATCCTTGGTGGCAGTCTCGCGTTTTGCTGTCCGACCTTTGCCATTTCTTCCCGTGTGGCTGGATCAAACGCGATCTTCCGAGAGCGAGGTCTTTGCTTCGACACTGAGCTCAGAAGGGTCTAGGGCCTCAGAGGATGGAAGTTTGTATGACGATGAAAGGAAAGTGCTACTGTACCGCTGCCACTGCTGCTGCTACGACTAAGACTACCAAGACGACCACGACGATTACTGTAGTACTGCTGCCGCTGCTGCCACTGCTGCTGCTACTGCTGCTACTGCCACTGCTATATTGCTACTGTTGCTACTATTGCTACCACTGCTACTACTGCTGCTGATACTAATGCCAGTACCGGTACCGCCATTCCTGCTGCTACTGGTACTAGTTCTTGTACTAGTACTAGTACTTGTGCTAGTACATACTACTACTACTACTACTACTACTACTACTACTACTGCTTCTGCTACAACAAAACGACAATCACAACCAAGTTGAACGCAAATGCCAGCCATTCATCTGGTGCACCGTCAATGGCGTAAGACAGCAAAAACATGAACACATGATTCCAGCAATCTCTTAGGCATGCATGAGCCTTAAACCCTAAACCCTAGTAAGGCAAGCGTCCCGTTCAGGATCCTGCGCCAGGTCTGGTTTTCAATGCAGACACTGCTGAATGCTGCAACGGTCAGCATAAGCAGAAGCAGGTACAGCCTGGGTTGTCGCTGCTCATGGGTCTAACTGGCCATTTGAAACCTTTCACGAACAAAGCGAAACAGGGACAGCCTTTGGTGGCTCTAGATCAACAAAAGTATTCTGAGGGAACACGAACATGCACACGATCAAACTATTCAGCACAGGAACCCATGAAAGCGCCAACAGAAGATTCCCAGCAAGAAGCCCAGCAGTCCTTTCTCAGAAGCATGACGCACACGCACGTATTGTGAATGAATGCTACAGATCATGTCCAAGGTTGGCACATGCCTAGAAGCGTGCAAGGCTAGCAATGTAGGGGCCTTAATAATTGGAATAGGGTTTTGGGGTATGTCATACTATAGTTATAAAAAGGAACCCCCTACAAATAGTATAGGTAATTACTAAGTCCCCTATAGTATGTGCAGTGGGTTCAGCAATGAACGTACGAGAGTGTTCATGCCTGGTTTGCAAGATCCAGCTGCGTGCCCAGAAAACCTTTGCGCTGTCTGATTGCTCCCTACGATACTCTACTACATATACCCAAAAAAAGCCCAACCCTAAACTCTAAACCCTACACCCTAAATCTTAAACTCTAAAACCCTAAATGCTAAGCTCTACACCACAAGTCCTCTGAATTGGGACTTTTTAGGGTTTAGGGTTTAGGGTTTAGGGTTTAGGGTTTAGGGCCCTGGACCCTAACGAACCTACCGTTTCAATTGTATGGACATGTAGAAGGAAATCAGGGTTAGGAGCCCTAAAACGGTAGGTTTCTAGGGTGAAGATGGGACTGCTCAACCCTAAACCATAAACCCTGAACCCTAAACCCTGAACCCTAAACCCTAAACCCTAAACCCTAAACCCTGAACTCTAAATCCTAAACCCTAAACCCTGAACTCTAAACAAACCCAGCCAAGCTGAGCCTCCACGGCTGCTCTGTGTAGGGGCAGTGAAAGTTGGACTAGGACTCCATTACTTTGGGTTTAGGGTTTAGGGTTTAGGGTTTAGGGTTTAGGGTTTAGGGTTTAGGGTTTAGGGCTAGGACTCCATTATTCCAGTGTTCTTCTAGGCGTTCCTTCCAAGGGTTTAGGGTTAGGGGCCTTTATTGTTTGAACAGGGTTTCGGGCTTTCATTACCGTCTAGCTATATAGGGAAGGTAACGGACCAATTTTCGTTGACATTATTGACCTTCAAATGATGCACTCCTTTCGGTCCTGCAAGTGTCGTCCACAGAACGACGACCATCATCTTTTTGCCGGTTGGAGCACGAGCGACGAAGACAGTCTTGCCTCAAGCCGCAGCCAAACATCCGACAAAATGTGGCGTTGTAGGGCCTTTATGAATTAGAACAAGGCTTCGTGCTAAGCTATATCATAAACCCTAAACCCTGAATCCTAAACCCTTAAGTTATATCACCTCACTATATAATTACTCAGGAGCCCAAAAGAAACAAACTTGGATGAGCATTCAGGCTTCTGATTCCCAGAGGGTCCTGATACACTACCATTATGGAACTAGGTCCCAAAAGACCATCCTTATTATGGTTTGGGGGGGGGGGTCTAATTCCAGAATAGTAGTATATATGGTTTAGGGATTTTATCGTTTAGGGCTTTGGGGTTTAGGGTTTAGGGGTTCAGGGTTTGGGGTTTCTCTGCTAGATGACACAGCCCGAGTGAGCAGAACTACCCTTGCACAATGTTTTCGGACCTCCTGGTCGCGCCTTCCTCGTGAGCGCGAAAGGCTTCGTACCCACACCAAAGCCTCTCTCATTTGCGCGAGCCGCAACCCACCAACAAAAATCCGAAAACTACGGCCTCATAGCTTCATGTATGCTTGCGATGCTATTTAAACTTAACCCCGAACTCCTAAACCCTAAACCCAACCCCTGAACCCTAACCTAATCCGCAAGCCCTAAACCGGATTGGCACGCCAGACCTTGATTCAGAATCATGAAGTTATCAAGGTTGACGGTCGAAGGGACGTTGCCCCTCTCCCATGGCAAACCCTAAACCCAAACCTGAACTCATGGTCTGTGTTTTGAGACATGAGGGAACCTTACTTCTACCTTTTTGAATACGGTTGTGGGGATATATTTTGAAATACCGAATCCCTAAACCCTGAACTTAATGCCAGCGTCTTATTGATTGCGGCTTTGGGGTTGTGTCATAAGCCTACGACAGGGAACCTAAGAATAGAATTACATGCCTATTGTTAATCGTCTATATAAGTCCTGTGGTTGAGCCTCGTGTAGATGCTGCAGCGGTGATTTGGCACAACAAGGACGTACGTCGAGGCTTTGAGCGCCAGTGCAAACGGTGAGCTGCTCGGAGACTGCAGCAAGGAACCGATATCCAAATTCTGAGGGTTGGCCAGCATGCAGCACCAGGCATGTCGCGCATCGGCAGGCCACGAAAGCAGGACTTTCGAAAGGAACTCGAAAATACCCTCTTGCCAGGCGTGGCTAATGAAGAGGTCACAGTCTAAACCATCCCGATGTTGTAGCAAAGCCCAGCTCACTTTGCCAAACATCTCCGTCACTGGCATGATGTGCTGCTTGTTTACCTGGGATCTTGTGAGGGATTCAACTTAAAGTTGCCATAATAAGGAGACCATGCTATAAACTATAGATCCTTAGTATGGCAACTTAAACTAAATTGGGTGGTTGTCAAATTTATGGTCCCTTTTTGGGTCCAAATTATAATACGGCACCTATTATTT